GAGAGAGAGAGAGAGAGAGAGAAAGAGAGAGAGAGAGAAGGAAAAAATTAAAAATTCAGCTGTTCATTAGTATGTTGAAGCTAATGATTATGATTATTGAAATGCAGTTTGATCAGATCGTCTAGACATACGATGATAGAGTTTGAATGAGTCGAATTTCAAATGTACTGATGTCTCCTAACATGAAAAATGAATACATTGAAGATGTATCTGGAATGTTCATAAAATACAGTCCTGGATGTGGCACATTTCCATACGCTGTATAGTTGACAAGTGAGAGGTTGAGTGAAAGAGAAGCGGTAGAGAAAGAGAGGCAAAGAGCTTGAAGCGAAGAGGATTTGGTCGTCCATGATTGGAAGAGCTGTTCTGTCAGTTATCACTTTGGTAATTTTGTTGGATTGGATGGGGGAAAGGATTGGAAACATAAAAATGGCAACACGCGAAAATAAGAATTATTGAGAAGAATGTTTAGACTGTAAAGACCGAATCAGTCAATTGAAGATAGGCAAAGAGTTAAAAAATGAGGGAGAAAGTGGAGAGAAAAGAAAAATTGGAGAATATGAAGACGTAACGGAGATTTCTTCTCCGTTTTCGTTGTGTATATACGTGTATGTGTGAGTATAGATGTATATATGTGTATGTGTGGACAATACGAGAGCGGAAAAGGTTGGTTTCGTGTGGTTGGGGTGGTGTATGAAGGAGAAGGGGCAGTAACAACGGGGCGCGATTTGATTCGAGTCCTTACACCGATCGAAAAATCGATCAAAATCATTATTTGGGTAGAACTACACCATATATGCATGTATAAAGCATAGAACAATAAATGTATGCATATGATTTTGTAAGGAAATTTCAAAAAATTGATGAGATGAGATTTACTCGTTGATCTCAGTTGTACTGGCAAGCGAAGCCCAGAGGAATTTCGGTTGGAAACAAGGCGGCTGGAAGACCTGCTTTGCGACCGCGACGCGTTTCGCACGCGTCTGCGTACCACGACAGAAGAGAGAATGGTCGATAGGACGTTAAGAAGAAGACGACGAAAAAGAAAGAAGGAAGGAATATCAAGACCAGACAAGAACAAGACACGAGAAACAAGAAAAGCCATGGAACGTTTATAGTAGAGATATTTGTTGGAAAGAAAGTAATATTAAAAATATCGAGGGTTAGAAAGATAGTTAATGAATTTTGTAGAAAATATCTCTTTTTATTTTTGCTGAATGCAGTAGCAGAGAGAGAGACAAAGAGAGAGAATGGGGAAAAAGAAAAAGGAGGAAATGTTTCCATCTTTCTGTTCAATTTTTGTCTTTTAGTGCTTTTTGTCAATTTTCAAGACGTCAGGATATTTCAAGCTCAGCTACCATCGTAATCAGTAAGAACAAGGAAGAACATCATTCTCATGACCTGAATAACAGGGTTGTTGAGCTTTTCCTCGCATTCTTGTGAAAGTTTGATCGAGAATATTCATTATTGTTGTTACTTTCTCCATTTTCCTACAAAATAAGTCTTATCATTCAAAGTCCTAGGTGAATGAGCGAATCACATTCTTTTCCGAAACATTATTAGAGAAAATCAATCCTCCAAGAACAAGACATCTTGTAGCTAGTGTAAGATGAAGCTCAAGTCATAAGCTTGCCTTACATGTCTCATGGATATATTACTATGAATACTTTCTTCCTTCTTTTTTTTGAAATATGCATATGAACAAACCAATTTTTTCAGTAAGTGGGCGGAAAACATATATAATCAGAATAATAGTTTGTAGGAAGTTGATCTTGGAGTTACTGAGAGGAAAAAAAAAGAAAAACGAAAAGAACATGTGAGGTTTTGACACCAAACTAGGAAATAAGAATTAGTTACTAAGCTAAAAGTTAGCTAGATGATTTGTAATCAATACAAACAACAATAACAAACATGATGTTACAAATAGGACTTAAGCTTCTCAGCCTGATCATCTGCTCAATCGATCATCTCAAGTCCAAATGAATGAATGAATTCTTTAAACAATTTCTTAATAAACTGATTGCAAGATTAATCAGTAATGATTGGAAAAGAAAAGATTTTTGTTCATTCAAAAATGTAACTTCGAACCATAATTCAGAGCGATGTCGCTATGTGTGTGACGTATGATCAAAATCTGAATTGATTTTCATTCTTTTATAATGTCCCACTTTAACGGAATGTACTTTACGTGCAGGATCAATACATGTTTTACTCTCTATCTAGTGAAATTCGAAGAATAGTTGGAAATTGAAGAAGCATTTTTCTCTTCTTTTTTTTGCGTGTGTCCCCTGCATCCTTCTCTCTTTCTCTCTATCTCCCTCCCAATCAAACCAATCCCCCAACTGAAATTAGCATACGTGCATCCATCCCACGTATTTCACGTGATTTCATCATTTCATTCAATGTCTGCATGAGCGCCTGACCGGTTGCATGAAAACTCAGAAAAAAATCTCTTTTTTTTTCTCTGTTCATTGGGTTCCCCGATAAACTTCATCAAACATTATTTTTGAGGAATGGAAAAAAAATTAATCGAGTGAAAAGATAATATTTACGTGCGACATGGCCCTATAAAATATGAAAAAGAAAATCAATATTAATATTAAGGAATAATAACGGATCTGAAGATGAGGAAGACGATGACGATGAAGAAGAAGAAGACGAAAGGGGAAGGACACAAAAAAAAACAAATTATTCTTTAAGAGCTTGTTCTAATTTCAAGCAAAATAACGGCATATATTAGAAAAGAAATGTCAAAGTAAACAAATGTGACCTTTCAACCTTTAATAGCCAACACATCTCCCTCTTTACCTCTTATTCTCTCTCTCTATCTATCTCTCTCATTACCTTTTTCTATCACTCATTTTGTCTCTCAATCTCTCTTTATTTTTGTGTCGTTCTGTGTGTGTATGTCTGTGTGTGTGTGTGTGCCTATCCCGCACCGTTCAAATATATTTATCAGATTCCTCTAAGATTCTGATTATTTCTTTTGAACAGTCAACTTATTTTTTATATATATATTAAACTATTATAAATGAACAGAAATCTCTCTATTCTTATTATCGCCACTTCTGCATATCAATGATGAACCGCGAATGTTAGAGTAATTGTATATGCGATGTTGTAAATGAGAATTAAAAAGTGAGATAGAGAGATAGAGAGAGAGGGAAGGTGAAACACAAAAATTACCGAAAAGGGAGACAAACGTTGCTTTTTCTTTGTTCGTTGTCGTCGTTGAAAGCGAACGTTCTTTTTGTAAAGTTTATGAATTTATATGTGATTGTGTGTATGTGTATGTGTGTGTGTGTGTGTTTGTTGTGCGCGTATTTTGAACCCATAGAAGTTGGTGAAGACGAAAAAGAAATGAAGACGATTACGAAAAAAATACTAAAATCTTAAGCCAAGAGCGAATAAGATATATACATTTTCATTACATGTAATGACAGAATAAATGAGCAAATGTGAGACATGAATGGATGAGAAAAATAAAAAAAAACTGAAGAGAGGAGGGTTGAGCGTTTGTATGCATGAGGGAAATATAGGGTGAGTAAGAAGAGAGAGAGAGAGAGGGAGAGAGATAGAGAAAGCAAGAGAGAGAAAGAGGGACAAAATGAAGAGAAAGCAGAAGATAAGAACTTTTAAAAAGGAAGATAGCATAAACACAACCTAGAGCAGGGACACCCCGTTGTCTGCAGAAGAAAAGCTTTTTATATATACATGCACAGAACATCGATGTATCTGCACTGTCGATAACTGTTGATTATATAATAAAAAAAAAGAGAAACTAAGCAAAAAATACAATAGAAAACGATGAAACTACTGGAAAAGACTAATCAATGAGAGGAGGAGAAGAAGAAGCAGAAAGAATACGTCAAATACCAAAAAGTGTGTTCACATTGACTGATTCGAAAGAATAATCAAAGAGTCGAACGCTTAAATAGAAGATGGGAGAGATGACAATCTTTCTTTTTACTTCTATTTCTCCTATAAAAACAATTATAATAATAGTAAGATAGATAGAGAAACATCTAATGACTGGATATGTGTGTGGATGACGAGAAGTAACTGATGAACATGTTGTGTGTCAAATGAGATGATACTTTTAAGAAAATTATCACAACTCTTCGAATATTGTACAAACAAAGTGATGACTTTAGGTAATTTCCACTATGCTCATTATAGACTATCAATAAAACTTGCAGAGAGGAGAAAGTCGGAAGCACTTAGGTCTGGAGGGTTTTTTTTTCAATTTGCTCTCTGAGCCTCTCACCGTCTGATTCTCACCGGCTATTCTCTCTCATTCCTGCTTCCATACGAAGAGGAGGATGGGGGAGGGGGTGTGGTATGCGGGATTTGATTCAAATCACTATGTGTTAATTTAAATAACATAATATCTAATGATAAATTGAAATTATGAGAAAAATTAAAAATACCAAAGAAAGGTTAGAATTTCTATAATAATAATAAAAAAATAGAATTGATATGTGTTGTGGGCGAGCTTGCATGCACAATTCACATGCAATGACGGCATCTTGAATAGTTTTAAATCTCTGTTCTCCATAAAAGAAAAAAAAATTTTGACTTGCGTCAGTTGGACGTTGACGTCACCGAAAGCATATGAAGAAGGTTTCAGAATTAGGGAGAGAAAGAAAGAAGAGAGAGAGGAAGAATAATAATAATAAAGATGAAGTAAGTGAATAAGTAAACCGGCAACATATCTTCAGAGGTTTGTGAGACAATACTTGAGAGCTGATATAATCACAATTAATTTCATGAAATCAGTACTAAATGATCGTCAATTGTCAGCAGTACCTTGTCTACAAGTAATCAAATATCATCCCCTTCTATATAATATAAAATGAAGAAGAAGAAGATGATGAGTTTAAAGATGGGATATGATATGAGGAAATGAAGAGGAGGGTATTAGTAGTTGGAAAAAAAAAATTATGGAAGGGGAATCAATTCAAATATGAAAAGAATAAGAATGAAATTAATTACAATATTCAGACAGATGGTCTATCCGGCTTTAAAGAATCAGGAGTTGAACTGATATCAGTTTGAGATTGTCGTGGACTATCTTCAGTTTCTTGAATACTTTGAAGATCAGTAACATTATAAGTAGCTTTCATTTCAGATGAATTATGACGAGATTCATCCATTCTGAAAATGAAAACAGTTGGCTAATACAATAATATATATGTTATTATAATATATATCTTAAATAAATTGAAAAAAAAAGAAATAAAAATTCAAACAGTACTTGTCGTAATCGCGTGATTTTTGACTGTTAAAACGTGGTCTCGTCAGTGATGATCGAACCATTGTTGCTGAAAAACAAAATCATTCAATTTGCTTTTATTTCCAATCGTTTCTCTCTCTTTCTGGGATTTTTACAATTCTCTTCTTTTTTTTCTCTTACAAACTTTCATATAAAGAAAATGATGGAAAAAAAGGACGTTGTTTGATATGAGTTTTCTTTTTTTTTCCTCTTTCTCTTTGCTGCAGCATGAAATTTACAAATAATATTTTGATGATTGTCAACTCACAGATACGCCTAACGAATTCTCCCATCGTTTCTTCTGGCTCTGCTTCTCGCGCCCATTCCTGATAAGAAAAAAAAATTGTGTTAAGATATATGTTTTTACTACACTCACTTGAACATCACCTTTAGCGAAGATCAGATAGAAGATAAGACCAAACAGATCAACTCCGACGGCTAAGAGGAAGCAATATTTCCATCCACCTGGATTCTAAAACAGAAATACTTACTATAAACCGAGAAAAACATTTTTTTTTGTGAAATTAAGCAGGAAAAACATGAAACGTAGACTTACGTCAGCAGTCAAGTTCTGAGTAATAATTCCTCCCATTCCCGCCAAAGCTCCCAAACCATTGGAGAAACCCATAAGAATGGAAGCATAACGTGGAGCGATATCGAAGTGATTGACATTAAAACCTAAAAATACAGCATTCAATGATTTACGGTTGAAGAGAATTAATTGTGCAACCGCATAATGCCCTTACGAAATGAAAATAACTCGGAAACCGACGCCTGCTGACGTGATTGCCGCAGCATCTCACGTATGATAATTAGCAGTATCGTCGTTCAGGGAAGGAAACGCGCAAAGGACATGGGCACTTTATAAGATTATTTTTTTTATACATTTTCTCTTCTCAAATTCTACTAAACTATTTTAATCCTGGGAGGGAGGGAGTGGGTGGAAGAAAGGAAGTAATTTGCGAATATCACACCGAGAAAGTAATTCTATACTTAACTACATGTCACATATGTATATAGATACGTTGACACTATTGATTATAAATTACCTGCAATAGCGAAACCACTGAAAGCTGTAGAGAGAACAAGACATGTAATTGCTGGAGCAGGATCGTGTAAGAAGGCTAATATACACAAGAAACAAGCTTCTCCTCCGAAACCTTTAAGTAGTTATAGTAATGATATGGCTTCGCACAAGAAAACTAACCCATGGAATTAAACAATTTTCGGACGTTTCCTGTTTCCATTTTACCCGTAGCCCGTAGATAATCAGATAATTGTCCAGAAGAAAGTACAGTAATAGCCATGAGAAGTTGTGGTAGCATGGAAATCAGTCCACTCTGATAATATAGAACAATAACTTTTGAAAGTTAGAGAGAACTTCTTACATCTCGAATATCAATATGAAGAACATCTTTCATGTATGTCAGCTGATTACCCAAAAGTAAGAAGAAAGTCCATGAACGACAGAAATTGCAAATAACAATAGCCCATACTGGTGGAGAGAGTAGGATTGTTTTCCATGGTACCGTAGTAAGCTGAATAATCAAAAATAAATTGAAAAAAAAACACGTTGAAGATTGGCAGCAGGTTTGAGCAACATCACTTTTTCTGCATGAATCTTTACAAGGCTTACCGTCATGTCAGATGTGACAACAGCTCCAACTTTTTCAGTAATGAAACGTTTCTCTTCGTCCGAAATGTACATGTGTTCATGTGGATTACAGGCCGAGACGAACCACCATCCGACTGACCATACTATAGCCATGGCTCCTGAAAAATAGAATCAAATATTAATGAAAAAGCTTTAGATAAACAAACCAAATACATAAAACGGAGCAGACCAATGTATATAACTGACAAGAGACGCTGAGACAGGTAATCCCAACATGACCCCAATGTAACTTCCAGTGAAGGTTGTTGTGACTAGCTTAGATCGTTCCAATGGCGGAGCCCAATAACGCCAAACTCCATGCATAGCAGGATACGTGACACCCTTCAAAATTTCGTTAAATCGGAGAACAGTTCAATGAAAATATTTCCTCCTTTGTCTCAGCTTATGAATTCTTTACGTGTCTTTCTTTTTTTTCTCAAAATTCAATTGCTTACTTACCAGGGCCAAGCCTTGAACGATTTGTAAACCCATGACGACAAAGTCGGTGAATGGATGGTACTGTAGCCCGATTGCCACTATGACGTTAGTCAGACCCGCGATTAAGATGCCCAAGCAAAACAGTCTGAATGATTGTTTATTTTCTATTAATTTTCTAAAGTCCTTACTTATTTGGAGCAAATTTTGCTGCAAGCATACCAGCAGGTATTTGGGAGGCAGCGTAACCATAGAAGAAGGACGATTCCATCATTCCCAGTTCTGTTGGAGACCAGAAAAACTGTTGCTCCTGAAGATCAAAAACAAAATTCTTCAAAGTTTTCTCTTTTTTTGAAATTACGTGAACAGTCCCGTAGGCATCTGTGAAATTGCTGATCATTCTATTCTTAGCGACTCCGAAGTTAGATCTGATGGCGAAAGCTAAAGCGAATCCAACGTGAGCCATTAAGGAAATTTGCCATCGAACTTTTTTCAAGAAGAATTTATCCTACAAAGATAAATAACACATAGTAAGAAAATGGAAACGATAGGACTCACAGTCTCCACTAAAGAATGCAACTGCTCTTTGTGTTCCCATTTTTTTGTTGAAAATGTTCTTCTGATGGAATCTGTTAAAGCTACTCCGGCCTTTTTAATGGCACGACCAACCATGCTGAAATGAATTATGCAAATTGTAGGTGAATGACAAGCTTAAGATAATATTGCAAGACGAAAATAGAGATGAGAAAGAAGAAATTCCAGCATATCATATGATATTCAAAATCTATTTATAGTAGGTTCTTGCCGTAACAGATGGGAGTTGATAAGACCTTTCTCAACAAGTCTTGAGAAAGGGGAAACAAAAATTGCCTACAAATGAGGAAAATCAGAAGGACAATGTCCGGCATTGATGAAAAAAGTATTTGAAAGGAGATGATTTAGGAAATGACGTTCATATTTGAGATGAGCGAAGAAAAGAGTTAGAATTTTCAAACAATCTCTATTGTTTTCTTGCTTGAAATGAAACAGAATAGACATGAAGAATGAAAAACAGGAACGACTTATGAGCTATGGGATGGCACGAAGAGTATTGTAATTGGAAGATGAAAGTATGACCCAGACTGCATTCTCACTTTCTCCACCCATCTCTTTCACTGGGTCTCTCTTTCTCTTTCTCTCTCTCTCTCTCTTAAATGCTTTCAGCTCTGTTTGTGAATAAAATTAAAGGTAAAAACACAATGAACGAGCTACTTGAACCTACTGAAGTCTGAAGTCGGAACCCAGAACTGTTTCTTCTCTCATCCAGTCGCCAGAGAAGGAAAAAGAGATAGACTGAGAGCAACAGTTGGAAAGGGGAGGGATGATTGACTTGATGATTAGATGATCAAACGTTTATGGCGGGTAAATCACAGACAACATCAAAGCATGGGTATATCACGTATTAATGTGTAAGAACATGCCAGAATCGTTTCTCTGTACCCTTTCTCTTTATTTAATTTTTCATTAAAATAACTTTCTTTGTAAGGCTTTCTGGAGACAAGACTGATTGTGAGATAAATTACACATCACTGATGTTAAACAATAACAATTGTCAGAAAACGATGTTAAAATGATCGGATGACCGTTTTGGGAGAAGAAAAAACAATCAGAAGCATCAGAAGAAGAGAAGAAGACATCTATAGTAAAATACAATACTTTATCAAAAACCTTTTTTTTCTCTCTACATTCAAAAAGCTATTCAAGTTGGCGAAGAAGAATAAGAAGAAGGAGAAGAAGATGATCATCATCGTGTCGATGAACAAAATGTGTTCTGACGACGACGAAACAAAAGCGAAACGTTTGTTACGCGGAAAAAAATGTGAATATTATCACCTTCAAATACTATTTATGTCACCTTCAATTTACCCGCAAAAAAACCAATGAAATATGCTCGCCCTTCTTTGACATAAATTAGGAGAAATCGGTTAAAAAGTGTATGTTGGTTGGTTTGCGATTTCAGACTGATGTTTGGCATACAGACACACACATACACATACTACAGACTCATTAGATGAACGTTCGCAACTGTATGTCGTTCGTTTTTATGCCCATCATGAAGGGTCATCTGCCATCGGACTGTAGCAGTGTTGATAAACCACGAGACTGTCGGGCCATTTATTCCATTGGTCATATCGTCGGAACCTCTGATTTCTTGATCTTATCAATTTTTGGTTAGACAATGATGATGGCAAGCACTAGAGATGGACTTCCTCTATCAAATTGTTTTCTTTTGTGTAATGGTTATAGACATTCTCGAATATGAAAGAGATGAGGAACAAAAACGGCCATCTATGGTCAATAGTAACTGGTCCTAAAACGATTGGTCATGGTCCCTTTTAGTAAAAGGAAAGTTATTGAATGAAAATGATAAGAGAAATATGGATGATGAAGATGATCACCAAATGACATCATCGTTGAAAAGAATCAGAACTGTCACATTCATTGGCATCTCATCGTCATTTTCAATGAAAAGCTGATCAAAATCAAAAAATTACACATTAACAGTCATCCTATTCCTAATGTTTAATCTTGTCGCTTAAATATGGAAAAAGTCCAGTTCCTATTACTCATTGGATATTCGTTTGTTTTTCAAAATACAGTCCTTCCTTTCATTTGTGTTAATAATTATATCAAATTGATATATCTTGGTCAACAAGTTCAGGGAAAGAAGAAGAGAGAGACAAAAGAAAAAAAAAGGTAAAAAGAGAAAGAACATACTAGAGAGAAATAGAATAGAAGATATTTAGAGAAAGAGAGATGAAGAGAGGTAGAGAGAGAGAGGGCGATAAAGAGAAAGAGAGAGAGAACATACAAGTTTTCCAGATCGAACAAATTGTTCTGATTGCCTGTCCATCTAAATTGCATGTGCTGCCAATGCATCTTCGAACTGGCTTCGATAGCCATTCGGTAGCGCGCGAAATTCTATGAATGGGCATGGAGCACTGTTTACAACAGCATTATATTTTCTTTCTAATTGAAAACAGATAATAACAAAGAAGACAAAAGGTCGTAGAGGTTGTTTGATTAAAAAAAGAAAGGACAAGAAAGTCACAAAATTATCTGTTTTTCTTATTATTTTGTTATTTTTAATGATAAATGATATCACGGAAGCGGAAGAGGAAAAGATGATAGACAGAGAGAGAGAGAGAGAGGGCATGGACACTTGATAAACATGTGAAAAGCGGAAAAAAATTGAAAGAAAGAGAGGGATAGATAACCAGAAAGAGAGGGAAGGTATGGATAGGAATGGGAGTAGGATGGATGTCTTAATCGGAGAAGTTAAAAAATATTTTCTTAAAAACATATAAGGGAGGGGGATGCGATGGCTATGGGGGGGGGAGGTGGAATACACATTTCTCGCCAAAAACATGAAATGAAAGTTTACATATGATTCAATTGATGATTTATATTAAAAATGATAAGAAAACTTTAGTGAATGAAGTAATAAATTAAAACTAAAATTCTCAAATAGATAGGCTTTCATCGTTGAAGTTGAAAAACCAAAACTTCTATCCAGATTATCAATCTATTTCATCAAACACGTTTTGTTTCCAAAAAAGGATGGCCCTTTGTAATTGGTTGGCGAGTTATCAATTATTTCTCTTTTTTTGGGCTTTTCTTCTCACATGGGAAAACCTAACAGAGAAGGCTTTTTAGGTTCTGATTATCATTGTGCTTATTCTTTTTTTTATATTTATTTACACTGTGATTGTGAGCCGTTCATCTCATTGGTCATTTAAGTTTGATGAGAAATTGAGAGATTGGAGACGTTTTTAGTGATTATAGCCCTAATTTGGACAATAAACTGAGCGGCATGTGAGAATGTCTTTCGTACTCGTTGGTCTAGTCTCTCTACCATTCTCTTTTTTAGAAATTGTGAGATGAAAAACTGGAAGTCTAGACCAGGTAAAGGAGATGAAGACCTCTTAAAACAACTATTTTATTCCAATGGCGAAATTGTCACAGTTGAATGAACTTTTTTTTTTCGGCAAATCAACTTTGATATTTGATTTCCTTTTTGTTTTAATGTTCTTGAAATTTTTGAGAAATTATTAAATACTTTTTGGAATGTTTTTGTTCTGATAAAGATTGAGAGAGAGAGAGAGAGAGAGAGAATGACAGGGAGTAACTGACAGATGAAGTTGGAAAGGTGTCAAGATGAGTTGGAGATTCGAGAGAGAATGAGAGGTTTGATCATAAGAGGAGAAGGATAAAAATGGAGCAAGGGGGGAATTCTTACAAGAAAAATGAAGAGATAACGAGGTAGAGAAACAGAGCTTCAGTTGATGTCTGAGAGAGCCTTGAACAAGAAATGAGAGAATACCTTTAAAAGGAGATGAAAGAGATTCACACAAGTTATGTAAGGTGAGAGAGCGAAGGGGTTAAGATTTGATATTGACTGAATGGGAACGGAAAAATAAAATAAACGATAAATAATATACTATTATATTAAGATTTGTAACAATCTGTAAGAGACAATGGGTGAAACTGATATGATAACCCCAATTGGATTGGTTTCAAACATCGAAAATCTGGAAAATCAGGAGACAAACTGAAGCCGTCAAAGCTTCAAAGGGAATACTAAAAAATTTATTTTCAATTTTTTTCTGTTTGATCGTTCATGATGGTCTTAATTGGATTCTCTATCTCTATCTCTCTCTATTGGCAACCAAAAGAAAATCGAACAGGAACTTTCGTAGATGACAATAAAAAATCTAAATTGATCTCTGCAATGAAGTGAAATCTCTAGTAATGTGACATTCATCCGTCTATGAACTTCCTTAGAAGATGAAAGGAAAAGATTATGAGTTATTTATTGAATAAGAAAAAGAGGAGAAACTGTATTCCCTGCTCAATCTAATGATCGGCTAAAGATGGTGATCATCACCAGCATAGAGAATACTGGTCACAGAACGGATATGTTCGATAAAAGAAGAGAGAGAAAGACATGAGAAAAGAAAGATATATATATATAGAGAGAGGAGGTAAAAGATAAAAAGAGAGAGAGGAAATGGGGAGAACGGTTGGTAATCTGCTACAGTTCTGGTCCATTAGAAAAGAAGATGATATTGGAGATCATCATCGATGATGGAAGATGAAGAAGAATAAGAAGAAGAAACAGAAGATAATAATAACGATGACGAATATGAGGTTTATCATATAAAGAAAATTATATGTTCATCTCGACGTCAGTGAAAAGCATCGAAAAGACAAGGAAATTGAGATATCAATGGATGCGTAGTATTCGGCATGATCCCGCAGCCCTTCTCTATGGCTATCATTCATTTTTAAATATACAGTAGATTGTGACAGTAAGAAGTGATGGTAGGCTGAAACAGAAAAAATACGAAATTTCTTTCTCTAATCACACTTTTAGAGGTTTTTTTTAGGGTGGGGTAGAAGAGGAGGAGCCCGGATGAAGTAGGACAAAGAACGAGAAACAAACCTTGTCTGCCATGTGTTTGCTTGAAAGAAAGAGTGATAAACTCAAAAAAAAGAGTCGAGAGTTCTAATCAAATCTAAAGAAAACAAACTACATGGAAGGTATAAGTAGATCAAACACAGATTGATATCGACAATTCTGGAACAAGATGTGATTCGTCGAACAGATGTTTTCCAAATACAGCAAGTTCTATTATTATCATCGTTTTTGCTTCTCTACCGTAGTATATCTGAAGCTTTTTCTCTTCGAAAGTCAATCAGATTTTTTTTTGTCTCATCTCTCTGTACTCAGATCAAACTGTTGATATATAGAGTCAATAAGGGAGTTACATTGTTAATTTGTGATGATTTAGATAAAAAAAAAGTATCAAAAAAATATTATTTCATTGGGTAATCTCCGTACACAGAATTATCTCAAAACTCCGAGAGAAGCTTTTTTAATCCCGAAGAATTAAATGGAAAACAAGACAAAAACAGGAAGGATTGGCAGTGAAACAAGGATGGTGCTGATGTCGTGCTGTGTTAGGGGTGATAAAGAGAGCTTCTATGGATAAATCATACGAAAAGAGAACTACAGTGAGTACAGAAGATGATGAAGAAGAAGATGAAGAAGACGTCTTTTTACTCATCAACACCAAATTGTCTTAGAAGATGGGCGGATCTCGAACATAAATGACCTACGAATATTTGGCCGAACACTCTCCATATTGGGATTGTGGACCGTGAAAACGACTCAAGGACAAAGCAACTTCAACTAGTGCAAGATTTATTTTCACCAGTCAAGAGAAAGGCTTTTTTTATTTCAAAGCTCGTTTTGTCGGCGGCAAACGCTTGTTCTTCACAATTTCTCTTCTTCGAACAAACTGATCCTAACAATTTCATATCTTTTTTATTGCTTGTAGCCTTCTGACTTCCGACTTTTTAGATTCTTCATAAATCAGATTGAACAAAGCCTTTTCAACCCTTGGTAGTTTTGCGATTCTTATTGTCAGTCACCCTTGTGTTTCCGCCAACCATATTATTCGAGAAATTATTTGTTACAAAATTTGCTGAAGGTATCATTGGCGTCATCAAAAGTTTTCTTTTATCAAATTGTTATTTTGCGTCATCTAATGAATTTCCGGCTCAGAATCTGATGAAATGACTTCAGCGACTTCAAAACAATGGTCAAGCGTAAATAAACATTACTCAAATCCGTAAGCACACCAAGGCAGGAACGAGATTTCTGTGGTGAAAAGATCTTTTCATAGATTGAACTGTGTTATTTGTCTATTTTTCATTAAGTAAATTAACCCAAGAACAATCAATCAACAAGGAAACCGTACAGTATTCACAGTGGTGTAGAAACTATGAACAAGACACGTGAAGAGAGGTGGCGTAAGAGCGCAAAGTACAGAAACTAAGTTATTAAAATACGAAATATGAAAAATAGAAATTATAGATAAATATTCAAGTATAAAATTGAATTGAATTCCATGAGAAAGTTATTATGACAGGTATGTTACAGACGTTTCCTTGGTGAAGGAAACATTACAAGTGCAGAAACTGCCTACTGAAATAAGCTCAGATCATATATCTTCAAGAAAGAATGATATCTTCTCGAAGTACTAAGTCTCGTACCTTTTGACTTCCGTCTGATTGTGGAGAAACGCTTTTGAAGGGGGTTCTCCAATTGCACTGCTCACCAGTTTCATACAGTTGCGTCAAAACATTATCCAGTGTATCTTAATTAGGAACTCCTTAATTAAATTCCCAGAAAATTCTTTCTTACGACTTTCTTCGAATTCTTTCCACTTCTTATAGAGGTTAAGAGCGACGCGCGCGTCCTCAACGGAATCATGAACACTTTCCTGGATGTTTTCTCCTAAAATATGCGGAGAATTAGATCCGTTATGCTAATTAATTCTCCTATATCTACGTGAAAACATGCGCCGCCGCTGTTCGCGCGATATTTTCATTTTCAGTCTGAGCGGCACATGACACGGTTGTATTTTATTATAATATATCTTATTCCGCGGAAGACAGGAGAAATTAATGCAACATTGATAGCTTTTTTGATATAATGAGAGAACTTCTCACCAAGTAGATACCATGCCAAGAACTGAAGCGAAATCATTCTCTTTTGGGGCAAATGGAATAGTTGTACAGTATCAATCATTTGTTCAGGTGGAACCTATAAGATACCAACAAACCAATAGAATCAGTTGATGTAACTTACATATATATTCAATACCGAAAAATCGTTATTCAGCCCATGGCCAACAAACACTACACCATTTTCAACCATATGAAGAATTTTTAAGTAGCATCGTTTCAAAGTTGTAAGATGCTTAGTTGATTTATGAGGATTCAAATCATCCTCCCGAATACCACTATAAGTTTATCAATTATACTGGAAATAGATGGTGTTTACCTGAAGGGTGTTAGGTAATCATTAACAACATCTCCAGCACACGTAACAATATAATCATCAATAAGAACATTCGATGTATTCAAATCTACCACACTGACCCGAGCAACAGACTTTTTCCCTTCCTGCAACATTAATTATGTCAACATCTATTGGTTTTCGTTCTTTACCCGACTGATATCGATAAATTCGGCATCGATACCAACAACATCTTGCTTCTGGGGAATATTCCAAGTTTTTCTCTCTCGGGCCACTTCATCATCACCTGTTAGGTTAGTATCATTGTGGAAAACATGTGACGGTACTAATTTTTTGCCACATCCTTCTGTAAAACGAAAAAATTGAAGAAGCAGTATAAGATGTAAACGAACGCTCTATCACAGCATTCTTGCGGTTAACGTAGATAAACATCAGAGGTAACTTCCACTTAGAATTGATAGAGAGAGCCTCCTCTGTGTGAACTTCAGTGACTAGGGATTCATTTATGATAGCCCAAGGCAGAGCTCTGTGAATCATGATAAAATATGGCTTTAAGACAACTCTTACTCATTGTTATTATTCTTCACAATAGCAACAGTATGATTCCAAGGGCCATCCTCATCAGTTTTGATAGCTACCACCATAGCAGCAAGTTCATATGCTTCCGTCTCATTCTCCACAGCTTTATCACTCAATATGGTGATACCATTCGACAACTTGAACGATATGATATGAATATGGAATTATTTGTTCTAACCTTAGCATGGATTGTTGGAGTAACAAATTGTTTCCAAACTCCACCCGTTGTTGATAACCAACGCTCACACTCTGCATCCCATGCAACATCGAGGTGTATATATTTACAGAACTGCCTGTAAATAGAGGGCTGAAGAATTATTACTGATATGAAGTTACTTATTGCGACAAAACTCTCCATAACGACATGGACCATCAGTCTTCCCAGCCAAATTACATTCATCTTCTGGTCGATTATACTTGGGTCGTCTTTCAGATAATCGAAGCTGATTTGTCCAGAAGGAAACAAAGTTTGGATTGGAAGCATTACAATCAACCGCGATGACAGGGGGTAACCTTTTAATTTTTCTATTCTCTTCCACACTTGTCTATAAACTAGATATCTTGAAAAGTTACCAGTTAAGCATACCTTCGTTAAACAAGAGTTACACTGCTGTTCGGCAAGCTGTCGAGCATGGATTGCTTTCTCGATCAGCCCACACAGGGTCATATGTTCAACAGCTTCAGAAAAAGGAATTACAGAATATAATCAGCTCTCACCTGCTGGATACTGCAGAGTAACGTAAATCTTATCCTCGTCCTTCAAAGAAATTGTAGAACATCTAACACATCGTGTGTGTACAGCCAACTCAAAACCCATCACACTTCTTAGGATGGTTAATTCTTCTTGAGTTAATAATCCCTAAGAACCTGCATGAACCACACAGAAATGCTTTGAATTTCACAAACCGAATTAATCGAAGTATGAAGATAAGTGATTACATTGTGAGCCGATGTTAAAGCATCGCCAGTTAGTTCTGGACAACCACCACCCGCGATTATCGAACGTACGAGATTTTTACTCTTCAAATAGCAAAGTTTAAGATGTTATGGCTGAATCAAACCGTTGCACTGGAACACTGTTTTCTTTGGCATAACATCCTAAAGAGGAAGCCAAGTTGACATGCAATACAATGCTCATGATCGCAAATATGAGAAATTAACAAGTTTTGAAAGACAGGAATGCCATTTAGGGACTAAAATATGAATCTAAAACTGTCGCATATCGCGTAAGCTAACTTACATGAACAACAGAATCTATATAAACACTACTAGAAGTACTTTCTAAGGGGACTATGTTAGTTTTATTATAAGCCAATAACGTTGAAGTTTCACCAACACCCACTCGGGAAGGTTTTATTCGTAATTTACGATAAAACTGAGGAATTACTGCAGGACCTTTTTCTTCTGGCGTTTCGGCTTAAATAGAGCTGGTATGAATGAGTATAGTTCCGGTCACTTACGTCGCTCAGGCTCAAAATCCAAAAAATAGGGTACAACATTAAAATATCTAAATAGGGTAGCGGCTCTAGGGTTCGCAGCATATCCGACAAATTGAATGTTTTTAATGCTAGCGTAAGGACCACAAGGTTTACTCTTCCTAAACGGAGATGTTAAAAGCGCTGTAATCATCATAATTTACCTGTGCATAGGCACACAGAGTTCCTCTGGCCAATCGGATAACAAGGTTTCATCTGGGGAAAAGGGGAAGGGAACAGAAGCTAGTGAGGTTTGAGTATCATCAATAGTGAAAGAATGAGGTGGTCCAAGCTAAAAAAAGAGAGAGCATGGGTTAAGCCAAATTTGGAAAATATACCGAAGGATCTGCAAACTCGGTTTCATATGAATGCTCGTTGACTATAGGGTTAGGACGATCAGCATACACATGGACATTCCCTAGAACAGAAAACTCAGAACAGCCTTGAAGTTTATTAACATACCGACCATGTCTCCGAAAGCCATGATCTGCTTGGTAGTTGATATATTAAAAGCACTAACATATCCTTCACAATCTACGATGAAAGGGTATCCTGGTTGATTATTCAAATCCGATAACTGAGCTTGGCCCATCTGGAGTATTCAGTTATTAAGAGAAGGGTAGAAGATCACGAACCTGAGATATACTAACTATTCGCGAATCATAAAACGTCGGTAGGAAACGGGCAAATGCAGGTGAAAAGGACAATGGCAGTGGCTTTTGTGGTTGGAAGAATCGCAAGTCATAGACTTTCACGAATGCATCTCCATGTATTTTATCCATTCTAGAATTGGAGATTAGAACATAGAACAAGAGAATATCTCGAGAACCTCAGTGAGCAGCCACAGGTGATAAGTTTGTTTCCACAAACATCAAAGTCTGATATAGAGCCACTATGAACATCTTTCAGAACTCGTAGTGTTTCAAACGAACTCATTGACCTCATTGCAATCTAAGATATTTCATTGTTTTTATTTATAATTAATCTTCCCCTACATTGCCGAAACTATCCGATGTGAATATGAAATTGCCGTTACTTCTTATTCCAGTAATGTTTTTCTCTTTGATTTGAACCTATAACTCTTTCGTTTCATTGTTTCCTGATATATTATATCTAACTGCTCTGAGTTCTTTTTGTTTCTCATAATCATATTGAACAATCGAAGGTTGATTTCCACCCATAATTAGAAACGGAGTTTGGGGTACACAGAATAGCTCCGATAAGTTAGAACAGTTCGAAGATCTAAACGTTCGTGATGCTTCTTGTTCACTTCAGTGTTTTCAGATAAACTAACGTGTGAGTATTTATATGTAAGCCTTGTCTAGTATTGGCCTTCAGTGTATTAGCTGATAACGAAAACACTGCGTTTTCCGTTATGGCAATATCACGGATATCCCCATCTGCAGCGCAGAAAGAAGTATACTTCTCGTAGCCGTTTCCAGCAAAAAAAGAAGAAACACGTCCCTGAGATTTGACTATAATCTCAGCTGAAAATCGTATAACTCACGTTCATGTTACCGCACCATAGCAATTCTTCAAAGGGATCAAAAGATAGTGAGGTAATTGGAACTGCTGTGAGGGGATTAACAACAATCCTGGACAGGTATCCAAAATTTCCAACACCAGGGGCCCACCAAAATTATTGAAATGAATAAAGCTTAATGCTTGAACCAACCTCAAGTTCCTCATTTTCTACATCTTCAATGGTATTCTCCATAACTTTAAATCATTTAACGAGAGTTCACTTCCAAACGAAATATTATCAGAAAGTCATTCGACTAAAAGCATCGTAAAATTTTCCACTCAAGGAATTAGCTTCAAAATCCAAATGTTAAAAATTAGAACCCAGCAAATGTCAAGAAATTGATTCGAACTTCAACACACAATCCAAAAACTGTTGAATTATCGATTTTTGTGGCAGCGAGACAGAGATGTTCCCGCCATTCAACGTTCAAATTACGATAAAAGTCGTGTCGAGACCTTCGGACAAAAAGCGCCTGCATTTTCTCAAAATTTTAGGCCACTCCGAGAGATAGCAGCAGTTGTTTTCGCTCTATACCTGTATAATTTCATTCTTCGCAATTTTGCATTTTTATTATTTTTTTTTTCATTTCATTTTTATATTTCAATTATTTTAGTTGGGAAAAACTTCGCTCTCTCCAAAGCAATGGGAAAGGAAAAGATCCATATTAACATCGTCGTCATCGGACACGTCGACTCCGGAAAGTCTACCACTACCGGACATCTCATCTACAAATGTGGAGGTATCGACAAGCGTACCATCGAGAAGTTCGAGAAGGAAGCTCAGGTTTGAATAAATAATTAGTTCTTCAAGCAATACCGACTTTGCAGGAGATGGGTAAGGGATCTTTCAAGTACGCTTGGGTACTCGACAAGCTGAAGGCTGAGCGTGAACGTGGTATCACTATTGATATCGCCCTCTGGAAGTTCGAAACTGCCAAGTACTACATCACCATCATTGATGCTCCAGGACATCGTGATTTCATCAAGAACATGATCACTGGTAGATACTTGTCGTCTTCGGAGTTAATTTAATTATGCCATTATAGGAACTTCCCAAGCCGATTGCGCTGTTCTCGTCGTTGCTTGCGGTACCGGAGAATTCGAAGCCGGTATCTCCAAGAACGGACAAACCCGTGAACACGCTCTCCTTGCTCAAACTCTTGGAGTCAAGCAACTTATCGTCGCCTGTAACAAGATGGACTCCACCGAGCCACCTTTCTCTGAGGCCCGTTTCACCGAAATCGTCAATGAAGTCAAGTCCTTCATCAAGAAGATCGGATACAACCCAGCTGTAAGAAATAATGCTTCATCAAATCAACTAAGTTGCATATTTACAGACCGTCGCCTTCGTCCCAATCTCTGGATTCAACGGAGATAACATGCTCGAGGTCTCCACCAACATGCCATGGTTCAAGGGATGGGCTATCGAACGCAAGGAAGGAAACGCTTCCGGAAAGACCCTCCTTGAGGCTCTTGACGCTATCGTCCCACCAGCTCGCCCAACCGACAAGGCTCTCCGTCTCCCACTCCAAGACGTATACAAGATCGGAGGTATCGGAACTGTCCCAGTCGGACGTGTCGAGACTGGAGTTATCAAGCCAGGAATGGTTGTTACCTTCGCCCCACAAAACGTCTCCACTGAAGTAAGACGACAAAAATCTGAAATACTTAATATCTGTTCTTTCCTAGGTCAAGTCCGTTGAAATGCATCACGAATCTCTCCCAGAGGCCGTCCCAGGAGACAACGTTGGATTCA